ATACAATACATCCCCTTGGGTAATAAAATAAGCTTACAGTTTACATTTAATTTCAGAATTTCATCTTTCTATTGAAAAAAACCATAACAAGAAATAACAAACTATCAGAAACTATCAGAAAATAAAATTCCCTCTAAAATGTCATAAAATTGATGTGGTATTCCAAATGATTTTAAGTAAACACATGCAAATAGTTCAGTGAGATGTGTGCATCTCCCCTGTGCTATTTGTCAATACTCAAAATTAGGCACTTTTTGAGTTGTGTCATAAGGTCTGAGATCTGACTGAGTACGATACAATTTCTGAAAAGTGACAGAAAAATAAGTTGCCTGTCATGATTATCTAATTCTGTGAAAATTTAGTTCCATATAGTAAAACAGGTAGACTCCATTTTTTCTCACCTTGTGGCCCTGGAAATTGCATCAAAATATACAGGACATTTTCTTTTCTACAAGCAAAAGCTCTATCTGCAAGATAAATTCCTAGCCTATAATGTTTTAAGTAAATTCTAGCTCTGGCTAATGATGTCACAACGACAGAGGTATAAACACAACATAAACCTCAACCATAAAGTAATAAACACCTATATGATAGGGTCCTAGAAAAGGAGAAAATATACCCATTATACTAAAGCGTTGTGGAAAAAGCATATACCATATGAAGACCACGGTTCAATTTTATGTGTTGACATTTATACCAAAATATAGTATATGCTTATCTTATTAATTTTAAATATTAAATGCAACCTTGTCTACCTTATTTAACTTGAATAGAACTTGAAATAAGTGGTTTAAGACCTGATTTGGATGGCTTGGATTTTCTTTTAAAAATCTGATGGCTTGGGGCGCCTGGGTGGCGCAGTCGGTTAAGCGTCCGACTTCAGCCAGGTCACGATCTCGCGGTCCGGGAGTTCGAGCCCCATGTCGGGCTCTGGGCTGATGGCTCAGAGCCTGGAGCCTGTTTCCGATTCTGTGTCTTCCTCTCTCTCTGCCCCTCCCCCGTTCATGCTCTGTCTCTCTCTGTCCCAAAAATAAAAAAAAAAATAAACGTTGAAAAAAAAAATTAAAAAAAAAAAATCTGATGGCTTGAGTCTGATATATGTCTTATTATACTCTATATTCATTCAACATGATACCAGGGATCTGAGATTTTGTCCCCAAGTTTCAACTATTCTTTATAAAGTACTTACTGTGACACCAATTTGAAAACCTCGCTCAGAGTTTACTTTTAATTAAAGGTATACTTTTTTAAATATCATCTCATTATTTATTGTATACAACCACCTCCCCGACCAGACACCCTCCACAGCCAAGTAAATCAGGCACTATCAAAAACTGAAATAATTAAATGTTCTGAGTGTAGCTTTGGCTCTAATTATCTCTGCAATGATCAGAATCATATTTAAAGGGCAAATATAATCCGCTATAATCCACCGATTACAATGCAGCTAGAATACCATGGAATTTGCAGACCACTTTCATTACTTTGATTATATCATGGTTAAGGGATCAACATCAATGCATATCTTTTCTAGACATTCCAAAATCACCTAATAAATGTAAACGACAAACAACAGAAACTGTCAAGACTGACACTATCTCAGCCCCGTAGACATAATGCACCTAGGGTTAGAAAGTAAAGGTCGAAACCCTTCGCTAATAATGAAGGTTGGAATCTTTTATCATAGACAAGGGACAGGTCTCAAGAACAACAATAATCTCCTGTGTGATGAGTACCACTATGGACCACTGTTTCCATATCCTGTTTAATCTACTTCTTCATTGTCTTCAATTTGACCAAGAAAAATACACATGACTTTATCTGGATGCTCATTTTTCATACATCAAAGGGTTTGAGTTTTGTTTTTTATTTATTTACAGGATATGCCCATGTTGACGGGCAATAGAAAAGCCACAAAGTTGCACACGCTGCATCGTCAGAAATGTCTGTCTTTAGCTAAGAGGCTCACTTTTCACCATTTCAACATTGAAACTCAGGTCTTTGTACAGTAATGACAGATTCGTAGCAAATCCTAAGGGCTCCTCATATCTGAAAATACGGCTTGCCCTCAGCACTCCTGTCTTCTTCCTGTCCACCTCTGAGTGCCTACTGCTCTGGTCCTAGGTGTAGCTGTAGACGCTCCTGAGAGCCACCCAGGAAATGGGTTCCATTTCTCTGTGTTCCATTCTCAACTCTTCTCCTTGTTCAATCTCCTTTACACGATCTGCATTGATTTCCCAATGCTGGTATTACAACACAGTTGTTTCTTTATCCCATTTTTTACCTGTGAAGATTTTGTTAGGCGTCATTCAGCGCTCACGCAGCTCTGTGCACCACTGCAACGTCTTCCCATCTGTGGAAGGGAAACCTCGGACTTCTAGAAGAGCTCTCAGGACCTTTTAACTGCCTCTTCCGGCCTTGTCCGGTCCTAAAACACCCTTTGTATTCCTGATAGCTCTGACACTCTTTGCATTACAACAAAAAGACTGCTTTTCAACAAGCACAGGAAAACCCTGGATGGCGAGTAACCTGTTCTGTGAGTGTTCCACCAGAAGAGCAAACACTTCTAATAAATTTTAACTCGATAAACGAGTGATGTCTTGCAACACGAGGAGTACGTGATGCTGAATGTCACGTGATCACAACCGAGCCCATGGTTCTTCTTGCTGGCTCGCCAGCTCTCTCTCTCTCTCTCTCTCACTGCGGGATTTTGGGGGATCATCACCCATGCTTAGAAAGTTCAATCTCAGGCCGCGGTGTTTGTCAGTAATCAGTGATTTTTCAGAACGTTGGGAGGTGCGCACAACTGGCATTAGTATATTTTTTTGTCCCTTCAAAGGACCTATGGACAGTCCTTTGATTTTCCATACAAGAGTAAGCTTAGGAATGCTCTGCTTCATTCTAGGTCAGGCTGACTCTTCAGTCAGACCCTTCCCTCTGCTGCCTGATTGTCAGTTACATTAAGTACAGTATATGACAGGAGTTGATTAATACTGTACTATAGTCAACATTCGGGTGAGCGTTTACAATGGCCCATTAGTGATAGTGAAAGTCGTCCCATGCAATAGCCCTCCTTTGTCTTGTCTCCCTCACACCAGCCATGAAGGTTTTCAAAGGTAAGTGCAGGTTAAGTTATTTTTCTTTACGTTTTGTATTTTCTTTATTATTTTGCGCTATATTGCAGTATTGTAATCATTTCTATGTGAATATTTTTGGGTTGTGGAATGAATCATCTGAGTTTCTATTACTTCTTACAGGGACATTCGCTTTGATATACAAGTGCTTTGGATCACAAACACGTTTCCAGAACGAATTATGCTGGCAAACCAAGGTTTTACTGTACTATGTGTCAGGCACAGAGAATCCAGCGGTGAGACCGTCCCGGCTATTAAGAAATTTACAATGGAATGTAAGAGCAGAGCAAATTAACAGGGAAAAACACTTTTTCTGGATAGATTTAGAGATAATGTGCGACCGCAGAGTGTTATTGGACACGTAGCAGGGCCAGCTACTGTAGTCTTAGGGTATCTGGGATGCTTCTAATCACTATAAAACATACCAAAGGTGTAATTATCACCAACAACGTGTAGATAAAATTGGACTGAAATGTTGCTTATGGATTCTACCTGTGTCTGCAAATCCCATAAAAGAGGTTTATGATAAAAAGAATTTCCTACATAAATAAATGGACTAGTGTTTAAAATCAGCAGGGTCCACCTTCTGCAGCCCAGTGCTAAGGACTCTGTCCTGCCATTATAATTTATCTCCTCTACGACATGTGAGCTCACTGCAAATGAAAGAGAGGTTCCCAGACTCAGTGATGTCCCAGAGTCCTAGGTCACCTCAACCAGGCCAAGATAGAATAACCTGAACCTTTAAGAATAACCTTCTAGAAACAATGCTTCACATCTTTCAGATTTATGTTCAGACTCAGATTGGACCCGTGACCGGACAAGTGGGCGTTCTGATCACAAGGACGGGCACCGATGGGTAGGTAGAGCACTGATGCGGACCGTGGCTGCGGCCAGCCCCTCAGGGTGGCACACACAGCAAGCAGGTAATTGCCCATTTCTATGCGAGATGATATGTTTATGTTCACACGCAACAGTAATACATTGAGAGGGTTACTGTTTGCAAAGTGCCCCTGCCATATAATCTCATATGATTCTCATTACATTCCTGAAAGTCCAGAGGCCGGACACTTGCTCTGAGTGGTTACATAAATTGCCCAGGTCAGACAACTCGTAAAATCGGAAGTTCCTGGCAGCAGACCCTGGGTTCTTCTCACACCCCCCCGCAGTGCTTTCTGCCTCAAGGCGCTGACGGTACAAAGGAAAGCATATACTAAAGCCAGTAACACTGAAGTCAAAGGAACAGCCAGCATGGCACCGTGCCTTGAAAGAGATCAGACTCCATGTCTGAATAAAACCATCGAATTGCCATTTCTAATCAAGCCAAATCTCTCATGGGTTCCTTCCCAAGTTTTAGGAAAAGTGAAATAAACCATGAGCCAGGACAACTGAGAAAATAAGCAAAAGTGCGGAGGCATGTGGAAATTTCATTTTCAACAATCACTTTTTCAGAAAAGGAAAGCCAGACAAAGCAGTAATCCCTAAGAGGCTTGCTTGACTCCATTTCAAAAAAAAAAAAAAATTATAAGAAAAGTGCGCGTTGTGCCTGTTACAAATTATGTACATCCACAGAGATGAAGAGAGAATCAAACACAACTATTTAGGGATGCACTGAGCAGGAACAGAGCCCCCGACACAGGAACCCTTTTGTGCGGAACACATTGGCATTTAGTAGACAGGATGTGGGTTTTACCCAAGTCCTCCTTCCCTGAATTCAACTATTACAAGGAAGCTCTCCACATATATAATAACCCCATTTTATTATCCCGGTATTGTGCTATATACTTACAGAGTTATTGGTCAGATTTTCTTAATCTATTTATTCCAATCTATACAATAAGGGCGTATTATTTGGGCGTGGGAACATACCTGTTCTCTGAGAGCTTTGATGGTTTTTTGAATTTCTGCTGCAAAATTGCTGAAATCTTGGGCAAACTCTGTTTTTGCCAGAAACGTCACATTTCTACCATCTTCAACTACGGACAAGTGATCTTGTTGCCTGTGTGTACAAGAAGCAAATAAAACGTTGAAAAATAAAAGTTGCATGATAAAAAAAAAATCAACAAGTATTCCTCAGGCATTGGAATGTACATGGCATTGTCACTGCTGCTCTGTGTGACCATCAAAAGAAAAAGATGTGACTGGAATTAGAAATTAAAATTAAATGGCACTTAAGGAGACAATCCAGAGTGTCACATCTGCTTCACATAGTTTACTTAAAATGATAAGGAAATGTTTCTTAGGAAATAAAGGGAATGCCATGAAGTATTACCTATTTGACATATTATTTAGATCTCAAATTATGTCTTTTGCTAAAAATTGTTCATTTCATTTCACAGTGAAACACCAGTGACAAGTTAAATATTATATATTATATAGCACCCAGGTGGGAAAGTTCCTTGCTCTATTATAAATTCATGGCAAGAACTAAATTAAGATAAGAATACTAGTCTGACAAAAATCTAATCTTAAACCAGATGCAAAATAGCTCAGTATTGTCGATAATAAAAGGAAATAAAAATTCTCGGGCTGAATTTAAAAGATAATTCCTGGAGCTTAACTGAAGTTCTCAAAAGACAGAGGTAAATAATGAGTTTAGAAAATTGAAATGAAAGTTCCACCCATCTATGATTATGCTATCTTGTTAAAAATATTTATATATAAATTTGATTTACTTGACATGCTATGTCAAGTTTTCTTTTTTTTTTTCCAAATTTTGTTAAAAGTTGTTCCTTGTGTAGAAGTCGTCGTAACTTTCCAAACTGTTCCCCTTTGTTCTGCTTGATGTATGTCCTCTATTGTTGAGTAAGAAAATGGCTTGCCAGACATGTCCCATGAGCTTGTAAAACAATTCCTAAACCAAGGACACGTTACAGAGTTTTCATCAGAGGGAGAGAAGTTAGAAAAAGGTAGCACTGGAAAAGAACAGAAGTTACCACTGCCAGTTACGCTCAGTCACTAGATCAACTCTATGTCCCTTAAGACACTGACTTAGAGGTGCCACGAATCAATAGGGACCATACACCAGCTTTTACTATGATGCTGTGTTCAAATCAATTCAAGGGCACAAGTGTCGATATGAATGATATTAATGACAATGGATAATTTGAATTAAAATTATCTGAGATTTTTGTCTTCATAGTGCTCTCTCCTGTAAATCATCAGCGTCTAACCAGAGGGATTTAACCACAAAGAAGTCTGCATGATTGTCTAAAGGCATCACCAAGATCTAACGCGTTGAATGCAGGAACGTGGGGAGTAGCTGATATTGGCAAGACCAGATTTTACACAATCGGATGGTGTTTACAATGGAACAAGGATGTGGGGGGGTGGGTCATGTGACCGGCATTACACTACACAGATGTGGGGGTGCTTTCCAGCAAGGAGGCTGCTCACATTCTCTCAGAAAAGACTGGGTGACCAGCGAGCAGGAAATACAACATTTGTACGAGGAAGACAGAGAAGAAAGTAATGGCTTCTGCCTGGAGTAGGGGGTGTGGGTGAGTCACCGAGGCTAAATAAAGCAGACTGTAGTTCTTTACCCATTTCAGGGACCCTGCAGTTCTGATTGTTCTGCCCCGGAGGCCACATCATCACCTCAATCAAGGCACCCAGCGGTGCTAAGAGATACTTGAAACAGCCTTGTTTTTCAGATGAGAATACTGTAGCTTAGAAGGTTGTTAACATGTCCATATTATACAGCTATTAAATTGCACAGCTAGATGCAAATCAGGATTTTTAGAAACAAAATTTAGAAGTCCTTTCTTAACCACACATTTTAGGCCTGATTAGATTTGTTTCAGGCAATGTGGGAGGAGAGAAAACAGACAAAGATACTAGCTGGGGAGATTGTTGGTGGGTGGTGGTGGATGAAAGAAAACATGGACAGTATGGATGTTGTTGTATTTTAAACTCCCGTTTTTAAATATTTTATGAAAAAGAGAGAGAGAGAGAGAGCTAGCAAGTGGGGGAGGGGCAGAGAGAGAGCTAGCAAGTGGGGGAGGGGCAGAGAGAGAGGGAGTCTGAGCCTGGAGCCAGACACAGGGCTGGATCTCACGACCTGAGCCGAAATCATGAGCCAGATGCTTCACGACTAAGTCACCCAAGTGCCCCACTACATTTTCAATTCTTAGTAGAAGCATGAAATTCAGCATAGAGTTTGTGATGAAAGAAGAGTAATATTTGTCAAGTTAAAGTGATGCAAACTCATGAACAGTGTGTTGAAGTGAGGGAGGGTAAATGCAAGAAAGACGAATGTGCGGAGAAAAGCGCGAGTGAAGTCATAGCCTGCGTGCTCTGTGCACGGCGATCGAGGGGATCTGGCCCTGTAGGAGCCAGTCAGCAAACTCGGTCGGGTTTCCCCTGGAACACCCCCCCCCCCAACCTTCCGTCATACGAATGTCTTGTGCCCGAGCAGCACAGAACCACCTACAATGGGTCACTGAAGTACGTCGCTACAGGACAAAACAAAGCTGCTATTATCTTTTTATTGTCACGTCAACGATAACTCCCAATTGCAAAGTGTGTGAGTGTAAAATACGGGAAGACTGGCAGGAGGCTGAAATTGAAATCGTCCAATCTGTAGCCGAGTGACAAAAGGCCGCATGTGAGCGCAACTTTGACAAGGTCACCATCATCTTAAGAGTGTGGATAATATCATACATTCAGTTATCACCTCCAAACAAGTGAAATGAATCTTTTCGAAGGACCTGGATGTGGCCGTGGGGGGGGGAGGGGGCAGAAGGCAGGTACTGGCTGTGCTGTCCTTGCCACATACATGTGGACATGACCGTCAGAGCCACATCCCCACTGACATCTTGTAAGAAAAGAAAACCTGCCTGCAAATATGTGGGCCAACATCTATTTCCAAGTTTTCTCTGGTGAAGCATGTCACGGAGGAGAGTGAATTACAAAGCAAATGAAATGCTAAGTTACGTAACGGCCCAGTGACTGTTTTCTGCCACTTAAATTATTTACAGATGGTTCTCACTGGGGCTCCGGCTCCTGGTCCGCGGTCTAATTACCTTGCAAGAAGGGGCCCCAGGAACATATGGAATAGGTTTCCTTCCTTAGCCTGGAATTAAAGCCCTTTCTTTCTCTGCCTCCATCTCCTTTTATAGAACATTCTTCCGGAATGCTCTTCATCCCTAAGCACTGAACACACCTGCTCGTTCAGACACGCCAGCCTTACCACTCTCCAAACACACACCTCACTTTTCTTTGCTCCCATGACTATGCTCACTGTTCTTCCACACTGGTAATCCCTAAACCTTCATCAAAACCTTAGTCGCTTTCTCAAGATACTGCCTCTGCCTAGGCTAAAGGCCCAGAAGCACTAACTACACCTTGTTCTGAACCACACGGCATCCGAATTCGATTTCGTATCAGTACCTGCACGAGCGCTTTGGTTCAATGAGTTACTATTTGCGTAGTATTTAAAAGAATGTTCGGCATATAGTGAGCACCGGAACAGCATTTGCTATCCTGGCTTTTATGGAATGCCTATAAAACACCACATCCCACATGACCATTAGGTGCGTCACACAGACGTATTCCTAACATAACGATCCCAGAAAGTATTGCCCATTTTACAGTCGAGGAAGCGGAGATTCTGAACTTTTACATGACTTGGAATCACGTAGTGGAAACGCCATGAACCTGTGCCAGAATCTGAAGCCTTTACCCGTCTCTCTCATCAGATGACCCTGCCTCCCCTCCTAGACGGCAAATCTTACAAGACAGTAAGTAAATCTTACTTCACAAATTCCCACTTTAATTGAAGACAGGAACTTCAAGGATGTACTTTGAATCTGGCTGAATTATAACACTTAGGAGGCTGCTATGAAGGACAAAGCTATTAGTGTGTGGTAACAACGTACCCCTCCTAGGGGGCTGTGAATTACAAAGGTTCTGTTTGTTTGTTGTTTTGGGTAATTTAATTACACAAGCATCTACTGATATTTACTCAGTGAAAAGGAACTACTTGAATATATCCTGTTTCCGTGTTCAGAAGCTTCTGAGACAATGTGAGGACAAACGTGAAGAAGTAACCATAGATGAAGCTCGTATATAAGTGTCACAAGACAAGTCCTAACAAATTTCAAAGTAACAAGATAGACATTTCCCGATTTCCCAAGAGTTCAAAAATATCCCATCTTGGTCACAAATTAAACCTTCCTTGCAACCGACTGTACATGAACTCAACTCAACTTAACTTGATAAACATTATTGCTTTTCTTACAAACAATATGCTGAGTTTCCTATTTTCAAAAAGAATTTAAAACACAGCAAAATCCATAATGCGATTTAAGGAATCGAAAATAACACTCACGATGTGCAATGTTCTGTACTTTGTTGAGAAGCATTTCCTGCCAAGCCTGCCCTGGATATGATGTTCACGGCGAAAAGGGACCCATATTTATCACAAAATTTATTTATTTGTCCATCTTCGTGTAAGTTATCCTGCATGTAAATGAGTCGACTGTGGTTCCTATAAAACCCCTCGAACTGTACATTTGAAGCAAATCTCTAGGAAACAGCCTAAAGAAATTAAATACTTCTGTACATACCCACGACTCAGATCACGTAAGTCCTTATCTTGCTCATCAGGATAGCTGTATTGAGCAGAGCGTTTCTTTCGAGACTCTTGTGCGAATGCTCTCAACTGTCCTCTGCTCCTACAGCCTGTGGGGGAAAAGCATCCACGTGAGCGTCGTGTGACATTGGCATCACCGTCCTGATTAGCACTTGAGCTGAGGAGGGGGGTGCAAGGCCCTTCAGTCAGTGCAGTATGGCCGAGGACACGGCTCACCGGAGGACTTGACAATGAGGAAAGGAACAAAACTGCGGTAGACAGAATGCTTGAAATTCCAAGCCCTTCAAGTTACTTTGTCTACCCTGCCTACCAACTCAAGACGAGTTTTTTTTAACATTTATTTATTTTTGAGACAAAGAGAGACAGAGCATGAACGGGGGAGGGGCAGAGAGAGAGGGAGACACAGAATCCGAAGCAGCTCCGGGCTCTGAGCTGTCAGCACAGAGCCCGACGCGGGGCTCGAACTCACGGACCGCGAGATCATGACCTGAGCCGAAGTCGGACGCTTAACCGACTGAGCCACCCAGGTTCCCCAAGACGAGTTTTTTTTAAATGATCTTGACTGCACAACAAAGTGCACTGAGTTAACACGACTGGGCTGTATGCATAAAATGGTTAGTGAGCACGGGAGATTTCACGTTCTGTGTAGAAGTAATGGTGTTTTTCGCCACAATTAAAAAAATATAGGAGAACGGTATGAAAATTGTTATGTAAATAGGAAAGACAACAAAAAATGCCCTTTAAATTTCATCTGAAAATAGTTGGATTGGAAACTAGGTATATTGAGAAGAAAAAACAACGATAGAAGAACCTACTTTTCCAGAGAGCAAAACTACTGAAGCTCAAAAAAATAAAATAAAATAAAATGAAATAAACAAATAAATATAGGAATTTTTAATACTGGTGGAAAAACTAGATGTAAGAGGAACATGATAACTATCCCAGAGCATTTCACCATGCAGTTGAAACTAAAAGATTACACTGGGCAGCATAAATTGGAGGGGAACAAGGACTTACCCTGTAGCTTTTTGTGTTGGGCAGTTATCCAGTTATTTCTAAGGGAAGGGGGAGTAAAGACAACTTACAACTTCACCTTAAGTACATGAAAATTAAAATCAAGAGGAACGTGGCCCATGATAAATTGCTGAGCAAAGCTGAAGACTGAGTTTTTCAAACAACATAATGAACTGCAAATTCTGTAAAATTTGACACAAAATGAAAAAAAAAAAAGACTTCATTATACAGTATGAACTCACCAATATTAAAACATATAGAAAATAAACTGAAATGAAAACATGTCAAAATGGTAACAGTGATGTGTCTAGAACACTGGTTACAGTTGTTATTTCTTTTTTCTTATTCTACCTCCTTTGTTTTTTCCCAGTTTTCAATGAGAAAGTCATTATTTATACAACTTAAAAACAATAAACGCGGGGGCACCTGGTGGCTCAGTCGGTTGGGTGTCCGACTTCAGTTCGTGGGTTCTAGCCCCACGTCGGGCTCTATGTTGACAGCTCGAAGCCTGGAGCCGGCTTCAGATTCTCTGTCTCTGCCCCTCCCCCACCCATGCTCTGTCTCTCAAAAAATACACAAATGTTTAAAAACTTTTTTTAAAAACCAGTAAATGTAAGTAAGCAGAGAGAAATGGGTTATTCCAAAGTCTGAGTCACTTCAATGGGGGTGAGCCCCGGGACAGGTGGAAGACTTCAGACAATCAAGGAGGAACATGAAACTACAGATTCCTGGGGACAGAGAAATATTCAGGAAGGGAGGTGTCACTGTGGCAATGACAAACTACCTCCACTGGGCAGCTTTGCTGATCAACTGGTGGGAAATGCATGTTGCTGAAACCGTTTCTTATGTTACTTTTGAAACTAGAGTTTTCAGACATTATAGATAAAGCTATGCATTACACTAACAGATCTATACATGCTTATATTTACACCACTGCCTCAACCTAGCACCTCATCAATAATCAGCAATCCATAAATATTTGCAGATTTAGGTGAGAAACAAAGAAATAGGATTGAGAACAAAAAGAACCCAGCTAAAAACATTAGGTTTAACTCATGTGATAAAACTTAGTTTTTCTCTTTCAGAACAATATATCATTTTTGGCAATGAATATTTAGGTAGAACTTCCTAAACGAAGGTATTATGCTAAGCAATGCAGGGAAAATCGAAAGGAATAAGGTGTGGTTCTTAGTTTTGAAGAGTTTGCAAGTGGAAAAACATGGCATTTCCAGTCAAGCAAGTATCTCCCCTTCTAATTCTCATTAAAAAGGAAAAACTATAAAGGAAAGGGACTGCAGGTCAACTCACATTATCTATCGTCTTTCATTTTTTTTTTTTTTTTTGGGAGACAGAACTTCAGAATGTATTTTGAAGCACCAACAGAATATGCAAGGTCATATACATAAAACCCAAAGGCAAAGAGTGGTCTTTGTAATGTCAGGCATGGGGCGCCTGGGTGGCGCAGTCGGTTAAGCGTCCGACTTCAGCCAGGTCACGATCTCACGGTCCGTGAGTTCGAGCCCCGCGTCGGGCTCTGGGCTGATGGCTCGGAGCCTGGAGCCTGTTTCCGATTCTGTGTCTCCCTCTCTCTCTGCCCCTCGCCCGTTCATGCTCTGTCTCTCTCTGTCCCAAAAATAAATAAACATTGAAAAAAAAAAATGTAATGTCAGGCATACAGCGGTGCACATTATGTGGTCAGAAACACAGACAAGTACTCCCCCCACCCGTGTTTCACCAGAGAAGGAGCACTGAGAGTTTCTACCAGTGGAGGATTGGGTGGGCAACCCACTAGGGCTGCAATGACCATGCAGGTCTTTTAATGTGGCAGCTGTTTGAGTCCTGACATCTTTTTTTAAAAAATTCACTTTGGTATTATCCCTAGTTATATATAGCTGAAGAAGCAAAGCATCCTTGATTGCTGAGTATTTGGCTCTTGTGCAAACAACATCTGAATTCAAACAGTATGTTAATTTGGTAGATGCTTTGGTTTTACACCTCTGCTTATATAGCTGATATAAATATGTATATACACTTGTTCGAACTCTGTTCTTAGGCTTGACATCAATTATTTATTTGAAACTTTGTCATAACGTGTGGTGGATATTTTTATCCCTATTGTGAACTTGAGGAACCTAAGGCACAGAGAGGTTACACTACCTTCTCTGAGGTACTCCAGCTTTTACAGAAGAGGCAGGATTTGAATCCAGACATTTGGACTCAAAGGTCCAAACTTTTTTTAAAAAAAAATTGTTTTAATGTTTATTTTTGAGAGAGAGAGTATGAGCGGCGAAAGGGCAGGGAGAGAGGGAGACACAGAATCTGAAGGAGGCTCTGAGCTATCAGTACAGAGCCCGATGCAGAGCTCAACCCCAGGAACCGCGAGATCATGACCTGAGCCCAAGTCAGAAGCTTAACCAACTGCACCTCCCAGGCGCCCCTCAAAAGTCCAAACTCTTAACTGCTACACTATACCAAAGAATGAGAAATATACAAATAACAAGATTAAAACTCTTAGATATGTTTGTACAACTTCAAAATAATGGTACCATTCTTTGTTAACGAAATGAATGGATAGATGAATGAATGAATGAATGAATGAATGAATAGGGCTAGTTAATGACTTGAATTCAAATTGGCTCAAAAGTATTGTCAAATTTCTGGTCTACATATGACTTGGGGGTGGGGCACAAATAAACACAGCAGCTCCTGCTTCAGGAATAGCATCAGGAAGTGTGGATGAAGACAAAGCAACATGGCTCGTTTCCAAGAAGCCTCAGGCAATGTGTGTGTGCGCCAGTATGTGGAACTTCCCATTGGGCACAGCCTTCGCTGTCCTCCCCAACCCATCCCATAGCCTGTGTCCTATGAATGAAGGCCTAGATCTTTTTTTTTTTTTTATAAATTTTTTTTTCAACGTTTTTTATTTATTTTTGGGACAGAGAGAGACAGAGCATGAACGGGGAAGGGGCAGAGAGAGAGGGAGACACAGAATCGGAAACAGGCTCCAGGCTCTGAGCCATCAGCCCAGAGCCTGACGTGGGGCTCGAACTCACGGACTGTGAGATCGTGACCTGGCTGAAGTCGGACGCTTAACCGACTGTGCCACCCAGGTGCCCCCGAAGGCCTAGATCTTTACTGAACCAAAAGAAATCCTTCCCTGTGTGCACATCCTCCTCTCTCTTCACTTCTGTCAACGGCGCCATTGGTGGCTCACCACCCAGCACCAACTTTATTTGATCTCACCCGAGTAACAAACACCACAGGTATCGTGTCACCATCTCTAAGAAGCCTTTCTTGAACTGCTAAGACCAGGTGAGATGGAAATTCATCACTTTCTCTTAACGCTCTGCGCACACCTATCTACCACTCTCCGTTGGTTCAGAAGATATCAGAGAGGAGGGCTCTGTCCTACCGGCCAGTTTATCCTCAACACATAGTACAGCACCTGCATATGATACATACTCAATAAATATTTGAATGAATGAATGAATGAATGAATGAAATCGAAGAGGACGAACCATTATTTTTAAATATCCAGTTTCTTGTCATTTTCTGTGTTTAAGAGTTTGATTGCAAGAATCAAACTGTCTGGCTTTGTACCACGTCTTCCACATTTCAATTATATTACTTTGGATAAGCAATTTGAACTTGCTGACTCCGCTCTCATCAGTACAGAGCTCGGTAACACAATTTATCCCATGGACTTGGTGAGAGGATTAAATGAGCTAAGAGGAGCAAAGCACTCGGCAAGAATGCCAGGCACAGAGGAAGCTCAAACGTGGCCCTTATTTCTGGAATAAATGTTAGAGAATAAGATAAGTGAGTTATTTAGTTCATAAACAACTTTTGCATAATGTCAGAGTTATAAATGTTTTTGTTCATAAGCATACAACTGGCATTCAAAAAATGTCCTTGAATGAATTAAAACTTAATGTGTTTGTAGGCAGATTTTTTTTTCAAGGCAATTCCAAGTGAGTTTAAAAAACAATCCCCCCCGCCCCCAAATCATTGGTAAAAACACTTCAGGATTTTTTTTCTTTGTAGTGAAAAACAGCACAGAACAATTTGCTGAATT